GTATGTATGTATGTGCGTGTACGTATGTATGTACGTATGCACCACCCATGTATGTATGTTTGTATGTGCTTCGACTCTTCGACATCCATGTATACGGAGGTGTATGTTTGTATGTATGCATGCATGTATGCATGCATGTATGCATGCACGTATGCATGTATGTTTGTATGTATGTTGGTTTGTATGTGCATAGGCATCTTTGCATACGGAGGGGTATGCCTGTGTGTATGTATGTATATATGCATGCATATTTATGTTCCCATTTACAGGAAAACAGTCACATGCATATACACAATACGCATATTTTCACATACTTTTTTGGACCGGAGGTGGGTGGGCGTCGAAAGCAAGTTCTGCCTCGAGTTTCTGGTCCACGAGGATGTACGGTTGAGAGGTCCGCAGGCATCAGGGCTTGCGCAAGTGATGATTGTCGCAACGGTAACGCAGGAATCGTGGCCCATTCTGCGCAGCCATCGACCAATCATTTGAAAACCTTAGCAGCCTTAAGCCGTAAGAGCTTGGGTTTGTGACGATTTGTGTTTCGTCTAGGCAGGATGTGTGACCCTAAACCCTAAACCCTAAACCCTAAACGGCATCAGCCTCATTTTCCCACGGTCCGAGGTCCTCGTGATCGGCATCGGACTTGGGACGCGGATGCTGTGCGCCGGCTCAGACTTTTCTGGGTTCTTGTTAAGGGATTTAATTTAAGTTACCATAATAAGGAAACCATAATATTTACTATAGATCCCTATTATGGTAACTTAAATTAAATCCCTTAAGAAGAACCCAGTTTTCACCAGGGGTAATCGGCGAGACTCTGCTGCAGACTGCCTATGGCCTATGGTTCTCATGACGCCACGACATGGGAGTTTCAGACATGCGAAGCGATGCAGCCAGGAAGAACTTCCTCCATGGAAGCAAGACATACCAAGCCACTGTGCGCATGGGTATTGAGACGGACACGCAGGACAGACTGAACGCATCTCTTCACATCAATCGGGGTTCTACAGCCGTTAGGCGAACAGAACAGGAAGAATGAAGAGAACACGAAGAATCGTCACCGCCAGTGGAGATTGGTTTGTGCTTCGGTTATCAACTGCTCGGCTTAGATGCCTTTGGCTAGATCAGTAATTGGATCCGGTCGTGCACCAAGGCTTAAGGCTTCTCGCTGTGAATCATATTTCATTTCCGAAGCCGTCAGCCCGTGTCATTCAAGAGCTATCTGAAAAACCAGCCCGCAATGGCACAGGACTCTGCTGGAACTACGGTGAAAACGGATCCCTTTGACTGCGTGACTCGTGAAGCCTTGGAGGACTTGGATCTGGTGTCACGAAGGATTTAGGTTTTGAGAGCTGTGCTTTTGCTGAAAATATGCTTGTGCCGGGCTGAGTGCTGATAGCTTGGATCCGGACGCTTGTTGTGTCGCAGAGTTTGGTGTTTTTTGGGAGGGACTGGGGTTCCCAGGTTCAAGAATCTGTGGGAAGTGTTGCAGAACACATGATGTGGTTTCTGTTGTTTTCCACGAACATGAAGAGCCTGTGAACCATACGCCATAAATGCCGCCCTAATTCCAAAACGCTTAGCCTCCCGGCCAGAAACTCCCAAACCCGAAAATCCTGCTTCTCTGCCTTGTCGAAATGTCGTCATGACACCCTAAACCCTAAACCGTGATGGCAAGTTCAAGAGTAGTATTGCTGTCTTAGTTGGACACAGAGAGACCTCGTCTGGCGGAGTCCGAGTTGCGAGAGGGTAAACCCCAAACCGTGCATGCAGGAGGTGATCCCTTCCTACCGAGGCAGCATCATGCAGGCTCGGCTTGCTAGGCCTTTCTGAAGGACAGGAAGATTTGACAGCACCTGGATGCAGAACCTTGCGAAGCATTAAAGTTAAAGAAAGTCACATATGATGTTTTATGCCGCTAGGGTCGAAAGAAGACTACAAATGCTGCTGCTACCGATCAATCATGCTATCTTAAGCGCAGGCTGTGTTTTGCATATGCTCAGCAGCTGGCCTAAGCGACAACTTTTGTATGCTTGTGCTGTGCTTTTACATATGAGTATTCTAGCGAAGGTGTGCAGCCTAGCTTGGCAACTAATCGCGCGCAAAGCCCCTCTAAGCATGCCCAAACCCTAAACGGACCCTTCACCCCAAAGCCGAAACCCTAAGCACAAAGATCAACACAACACCCCTATAAACCCTGAACTTCGAACGCAAAGACCGAAGCCCTGCACCAAAACGACCAAACTCGACAGCCGAGCCCCGGGAAGTTCCCGGAACTCGAAAACTTCGAGGCTAAGCCCAACGGACCCCTGCCCGACATCCTCACGGTGCACGGCTGTTTCAGGCTTCATCATGGTAGTAAATGCATATACCTACCTATCTACCTACATACCTACATACCTACCTATCTATGCATCCATCTATTTTATCTATCTATCCATCTTTTCATCTATATATCTAGCTGTTTATCTACCTGGCTAGCTATCTATCTATCTATCTATCTATCTATCTATCTAACTATCTAACTATCTATTTATCTATCTATCTATCTATCTATCTATCTATCTATCTTGTTGTCTACATGCGTATCTATCTACCTACCTATCTACTTATCTATCTATCTATCTATCTGTCTATCTATATAATATATATCTCTATCTATCTATCTATTCATCTACCTATCTAGTCTATGTATGTTTGTGTACATGTCTGGATTGTCGCATATATGTACATATGAGCTTTCAAGGGTTCAGTCTTAGCTCCGGGACCGTAAGCCCTCAAAACACTCCTCACCCTTGTTTGTTAACTTGAAGAAAGTCAGAGAGGACTCTCGGGTTTCAGGGCTTCGTGCTTCGCCTGTGCATTTGGGCTTCACTTTGGCGTTGAAGCTCTACTACCGGGCAGTCGTTTCATCCGCGTTTGAAAAACCACTGACCCTGCACCCTAGACCCCCGTCTGGGGTCCGGGGACGAACCATGTCATAGGCCCGAAACCCCCACTACTCCTGAGCCGAGGCTCCGGTTGCACGGAAGATAGGACCCAAAGCTTCCGCGTCCTCCGCCCGCTTAGGAACCGACAAAAATATCCAACCTTGCCCTGAGAGTCCACTACCCCCTCATTCGGGAAGATACCCAAAAACTTCTGTTTTAAACCCTACCCTAAACCCTAAACCCCCAAAATTCTGTGTGATGCCACTAATTTCAAGGTGCAAGTATTCCTTCATCAGGGGGTTATCGGACTCACAGGGTTCCTGTTAGACCTGCGCAAAGATCACCTGGTCCTCTGCCGCGCCACGCTGGCCCAAGCCGCTTCTGTCTCGGCCTTCCTCACTAAGCTCCCATGTCTCTATCTGGCTGCCTCTATTTCTCACAACTCCTCCATCAGAACTTACTACAAGGCAGATCGCAGCACGAAATTCCTGAAGTTGCGAATATAGCTCGGGACGCAGCGGGCGAAGCCGCTCCGTGCACGCGACAGCATCCAGGCAGGATTCTGATATTTGCTTTGGATATAGCCTCTTTGGGGCTTGGTGGGTTATGAGGGCTGAGACAAGTTCACACTTGCAAGCCTTCATTGGGCAGTCTTGGGCCGTCTCCTCGCACCCGCATGATGCTAGGACTCGGGATGTTGAGCACCAATCTGTCAAGGCAGCATGCTGCTATTCGGAAATATGATATTCCGGTCCCTCCCATCTGTTTGAGTCGAGCGAAGTACCGCTTGCAGGCATTGGCCATGAGTGCAAAGACGGAGGCAAAGACTCCGGGCTAACAGGGTGAGGAGTTTGTTCGGGGTGTAGTGTCTCTTATTGCTGTTTCTGGGAACTCGTCCCAATATTCCTACAGCGCTTGAGAAGTTGGGCTGCGGATAGGGTTCACAAGGGCTTACAGGGTTTCAAGCCGATGGCAACCATCCCCCTGCGAACCGAACAGCCTCGCCTAGAGTGTCCAAAATCAATCAACTAACTTGGAAGCTTGTCGACGAAAATCTGAAGTTCAGCCATCAAATTCTCAGTTTCTTTCCAAAGGTTTCGGCAACCATGCCAGACATGTAGGGTTCACGGATTGGGGTCTAGGGGTTCTGAGCCCAAAAAACCTAAACGTCCTGCAAGCTTTAGCAGCCTCGTCTTCCTAGTAGTGATCGATCTCTATCTTCATGCCGAAGTTCATTCGTGTTGTACTTTGCTCCATGGCCAGGTTTAGGGTTTCGGGCGGTTTCGGGTGAACTTGGGCGAAGCCCTGCGCCCCTGGACGCCTTCGATTCTCGAGACCGGCATCCGAAACCTAAGAATCTGCAGCTTCCATCTCTAAAGCGTTGAAAAGGCCGTGCAAGGCCCAAAGGCTACATAGTCTAGGACATTCTCAGGTGTGTAGTTTCCTCTATAGGAGCCTTGTAGAAGGTCTATATACTTTATGGAAGCCTTATAGAAGGCCTATATACCCTAAACTCCCCACCTGTAATTTCCTTTAACATAGAATTCCCCAGGCACATGGCACCCAAACGGCTAAAGCCCCTGAGCTCCAAGCATCAACCCTAAACCCTAAACCCCTAAACCCTAAACCCTAAACCCCTGAACCCTAATAAATCCTAAACCCTAAACCCCTAAACCCTAAACCCTAAACCCCTGAACCCTAAACACTAAGCCGCATTTCAGAGCAGCGGCCAGAGGTCGACGTCGATGCCTTGAGGAAGCTCATTCCCGTGGGCGCCGACCTTGGCGTCATGCAGAAGCACTACGCATGCACATAAATAGCTAGTTATGGTTAGATAGATGGCTGGATATTATGCAGATGTACAAGTACATGTTACATAGGTACAGATAGAGAAAAATACAGTGGCTAGAGATAGATAGATATATCGAATGTACAGACTGTGTGATGTTGTGGGACCTTCTTGTTGCAAACATGTGGACTGCGTGCTGCGATGCTGCTGTCGTGTTCTGTAGATTTCTGTAGTGCACTCCATGCAGCTCGCCACACCTTGTATACGGTCTGCTGCAGCAGGTGCCTTTCGGGTCAGGGTTCGGGGGTTGCGGAAGTCGTTGGGCTGGAGTTAAGGGAGGTCTTTGCGGGTCTTTAGAGAGGGGTTTTCGTGAGCAGTACACTCCTGGGTTTGAATATATCTTCCGACCTCTACTCTATACGAAGGCCCCGGAACCTGTATAGGCTAAGGAGCACTTATGAACCCCTTAAAGGAGTATGCTTACCAGTTCTTTTTATGTTTCGATTTGGCACCTGCCTTTCTACGACCAAGTCAGGTGCCAAGCCTTCGAGCACAGAATGCCGGGAGCGGCTCTTTAAGGAGTCGCAGGGTTTAGGGTCTCCGACAATGCCCCATGCCCCATACCGGACAGGGCGCAAAAAACGTAGGGTTTAGGGCTGAGGACTACGGGGCATTTTGGGGCTTCATGGTGTCGGCTTTGAGTGTTCAGGACTCCCTTCAGGACTTTATGACGATGGTGTCGGCTTAAGCCCTAAACCCTAAACCCTAAACCCGGGTGTTCGGGTTGAGGGTCTTTAACTTGGCATTACGATATCGGGGCTTCTGTTGTGGCTTGTACCGGTTTTCGGGACTAACTTGAAGTTCATATCGGCTCCGTTCCTGAACTCTAATCCCTTAATTAGGAAAAGGAGCTTTAATAAAAAAGGCCCAAACCTTAAATCCTGAACCCTAAACCCTAAACCCCAAACGCGTACCTTACGGCTAGTGTCGCGGCGTTGATTTTGAAGGATTGAGGCTACCATGTAGACACTGTCGAACTCGACCAGTTTGCCCAGGACTTACCTTTATATCACTCATTTGCTGTATCGCCTCTTTGAGTAGTACCGGGCAAGCCCACCATCTGTCTGTATCACGCCACCCTACACCCTAAACCCTAACCCTTGCTTGGCATGTCCGAGTTGTGAGAGCGTAAACCCCGAACGCGCATCTTCAGGCTTTAGGGGTCAGGGGTGGGGTGTCGTAGAGGGGCCGTATTAATTCGAATAGGGCGTTGGACGTATGCTGACCGGGGTTCGGGAGTTTGCCGTCGCAGGTTTGAGGATGTTTTGTGGGCAGAAGGTATTTCGGGGATATGGCTTGAAGGTTCAGCTCAACCCAAGCCCAAAGCTTTCCCTAAACCCTAAACCCTAAACCTTTCCCTTTGCAGGAGTTCGTGGTTCGCTCCGCCCATCTGATCGGAATGGGTGCAGCCACCGCCAGCAAGGCCAGCCTTCCGGCCTCTATGTCCTAGCCAGGCGGGAGGCAAAAAAATGATTATAGATGAACACAAAGTAGGTATCAGTAAACGAACAAATAGCGAAAGCAAACAAAAGCAAACTAAAGATATATATATATATATATATACATGTATATATGTACCTTAAATCCTGGGCTGCTCTGGAGTCTGTCTTTTCGATATTCTATGTTTCCATGCAGGTTTTCCACATTGCAAGACGACCCTCGCCTTCTAGAGAGCGTATTCGCTTGAACACACCTCGGACCCAAGAGCCAAGATGCACGGCGATGGGACATAGATTCGTTTAGGAGTCTGTGCCGAGTTCCACCTAGAATTCATGGATGCTGAAGGGCTTTTGCACATAGCGTCACGCGCACGACTTGTCAAGGCAGAAGTGATTAAGAGTGAATACAAAGTACGGTTACTGTACATGCTGGTACAAGCGCTGGGGTTTCTGTCAATTCTCGGGATCCTGCCTTCGCTGTTTCATGCATAGTGTGCAGTGGTGGTGTCGATCTGGGACATGTTGTGGTGGTGGTGGTGGTGCTGCTGCTCGCCAGTAGTAACGGAGAAGCAGCAGTAGTAGCGGCGGCATTGGCAGCGGCAAGTGGAAGTGACGAGGTCATACGTGGTACCCCCCGTCGTCGCCGCAGCCGCCGTCGTGGCAATAGTAGTAGCACCTGGAGCCGTCGTAGTAGTAGCAGTAGCAGTAGTAGTAGCAGTAGCAGTAGCAGTAGAAGTGGCAGTAGCAGTAACAGTAACAGTAGCAGTAGCAGTAGCAGTAGCCGCAGCCGTAGCAGTAGCAGTAGCAGTAGCAGTAGCAGTAGCAGTAGCAATAGCAGTAGCAGTAGCAGTAGCAGTAGCAGTAGCAGTAGCCGAAGCAGTAGCAGTAGCAGTAGCAGTAGCAGTAGCAGTAGC